CCCTAAACCCTGAACCCTTTGGGTTTGGGCCGTGATGCGTCTCACGGATTCAGGGCTGGTAGGGCCCCGGTTTGAGCCAGGTCAGTGTTGGCTCAAGAACCGAACCTCAAGAAATCATATTAGGGTAGTTGTCAAAATTAGGGTCCCTTTTGGGGTACCCTAAATAATAGGTGCCGTATTATAATAAGGACCCAAAAAGGGACCATCATTTTGACAACCACCCATATATTAGTAGCAATGATAATGATACTAATAAAAATAACAATAAAAGTAACGGTAATCATAACACTAATAATAATAATGCCAATAATAACAATACTAGCAGTAATAATAACTTCAGTAATAATAGTATCAGGAGTAATAATAATAAGAGACCCAGGTTCTCAACTCTAAACCGTAAAGACGAAATTCTAATCCCTGCTTACTCTTAGGGTTCAGGGTTAGGGTTTAGGGTTTAGGGTTAGGGTTTAGGGTTGAGGGTTTAGGGATCCCAAACCGCAAAGCCCACACCCAAGCCCTAAACCGAAAGCAGACAGACTTCGCCAGGTTCAGGAACCTCTTGGGGTGCACATCACAGGCGATCTCACGGCCTTTGCGCATCCCTACCAGCACCTTGGAAGCTTAGCGTCTAGGCGTATTTGGGGTTTGGGATTTGGAGTTTAGAGTTGAAGGTTTAGGATTTGGAGTTTAAACCTGAACCCCATTGAAGGTTTAGCATTTGGAGTTTCGGGTTTAGGGTGTTGTGTTTAGGGTTCAGGGTTGAGGATTCGGTGGGCTTCTGGAAAAGGCTCTCAGGCTTAAGGTAGGGCGTAAACTTCTTCGAATTTATACTCGTCCTTCCGGGATCCTCATGCACACACCATCTAAGGAATAGAGCTACATATGCCCAAAGATCGGATCCCAGTTGTTATATGAGGATGACTGTAAGCCTTGGTAGGGTGTTATATACGGTTCTAGAAAGGCTTGTACGGATCCGAAACCCTTAAGCCCTAGATCTTAAACTCCAACTTAAGGTTGTCCCACCGCATGCTGCAATCGCTGCATGTGGAATCTAAGGCGTAAGCTTCCCAGCATCCTCATTTCCTATCTAGGCCCTAAACGTGTACCACATTTGTTAAGCAAGTGCTCCTAGATCCTCATGGGACCGTTATCCCTAAACCCTAAACAGTTATAGAAACCTCGCGAAAAACCTAGTAGAGTAGGGCTCTTGAGTCCAAAAAAGCGCTCCCCAAACTCTAAACCGACATGACCCGGCTCGGAGCAGTCTTCGGGGATAATCTAGGGGCCTTTATCATTAATTAGAATAGGGTGTTGGGGTTTGTTATACTATGTGGGTAGTTGTCAAAATTATGGTCCTTTTTGGGGTACCCTAGATAATAGGTGCCGTATTATAATAAGGACCCAAAAAGGGACCATAATTTTGACAACCACCTATGTGTGTAATATAAGGAGCCCCCCAAAACCCCATTCTAATTAGTAAGGCCCCATTTTAAGCACCTGTTTAGCCTGCAAGGGGTGAGGGGGAGGGCCTTGGGGGTTTTAGGGTTTCCGATTTCAGTGGGGTTGGACTTGATCAGGGTTTAGGGTTTAGGGTTTAGGGTTTAGGGTGTTTCTGGCGTTTGAATTCAAGACGAAGGGTGCTTTTGAAAATTCTTACTTCGGCTGTCGACTCAGCGTGGGCTTGCGCAGATTAGGATTCGGGCTTTGGGCTCAAACCGTACCTGGACCCTGCAAAAGCCAACCACACAAACGAACTTATAAACCAAAAAATAACGAGGAGCCCTCGAAACGTCGGGTTTTTCAGGATTGAAGCAGCCGTTGCTTGGTTTAGGGCCTAGGATCTATATTTTCTTGTGTGTTTTTCTCCGGTTGGCTTTTGAGCTTCGCCTGTTTAGCAAGACATAACAAGATCAGATTTCTTGCGGGGTGCCGGGTCGCACGCGCAGCCCGCACAGAAGTTTGGAATACAAGTATGTACATCTATATATATATATATATTATATTATATATATATATATAGAGTGTATATCAGTTCCTACTGCTACATTCCTTCTGTTCTTGTGCCCCCATTAAAGCTCCGTTCTGAACGCTGATTGCTTCTGATTGGGCCCTACACCCTAAACCCTAAACCCCTAAACCCTAAACCCTAAACCCTGAACCCTGAACCCTAAACCCTAGTCTGTGCCCAGGTTCCATGCCTACCGGAAGATCTGGGAAACGCGGCCGGGAGAGGACAGGTCTGAGATTCGGTGAAGTATCGAGCCGTTTAGGGTTTAGGGTTTAGGGTTTTAGGGTTTAGGGTTTAGGGTATAGGGTTTAGAGTTTAGGGTTTAGGGTTTAGGGTTTAGGGTTCAGGGCATAAGCCATAGAGCCTTAAACGCTTGAAGTGCTCACGGAGAGCGATGGCCGCTTCAGTGGGAGTTACTGGGTGGATGCCCTGGTGTCTTGCTTGGCTTTGCGAGGATGGAAGTTTCAGAGTTTTGGATGAAAGTGCTTGCCAGGATTTCGATGTCTTGGACTACTTGGATGGGAGATCCACAAACCCTTTACCGTTGAACTCAAACGAACATAGTGGCATTCAGAGGTTGACTGGTGTTTTGATCTACTTTTCTATCTTTTACACATGTAGCATCACTATACAACTATCTAGCGACTATATCGACTACGGCTGATTATGTTCTTTCTCTATACCCTGATCACCGCAACCCGCAAATTTTGGAAACCCCTGCAGCCAGACTGACGCCAACCTTTAGACCTTACCCTAAGGGTCCATGTGCCCAAATAGTAGATACTTTGGCCCCAAAGTACCCAAATAGGGACTGCTTTAAGGCCAAAGTATATACTATTTGGGTACTTGGACCCTTAGGGTTACATAGAGCTCTGCAAGTACCGTCTAGCCAAACCTCTTCCCCTAAACCCTATATAACCCGTATATAAACACCACAAGCCGCATGAACCCTAGATCCTGAACCCTTGACCCTAAATCCTCTAACCTAGCCCCTTCTTCAGCAGGATCCGGAGAAGTAGCCTGAAGCTAAGAACTCCCTAGTGAAGCCTGTTCTGGGAACTCCAGATCACCACCTTCGAAGTTTAGTTTTTTGGTTCAGGGTTTCGGTTTAGGGTTTAGGGTTTGAAGGTTTCGGATTGGAGTTTAGGGTCTATAGGGTTTAGGGTTTAGGCCTTTTGGAGTTCGGGCTTGGCTGGGGGTTACCCCTAAATCCTAAACCCTTAGCCCTCAGCCCCAAATCCTCGACCTTAAAACCCTAAATCCTCAACCCTAAACCCTAAATCCTCAACCCTAAACCCTAAATCCTCAACCCTAAACCCTAAACCCTCAACCCTAAACCCTGAACCCTAAACCCTAAACCCAAATGCAGGATCCAGACAAGAACCTCAAGTTGCCCATGTGGCCAGGCCTTGGCAACCACGAGACTTGGGCTGGCAGTGCTTTTTTCGGGCTCCCCGTGTTCAGTTTAGGGTTTATAGGGATTTGGGCTTAAAAGGAGGGTTTGGGGCTTAAAAGGTTTATAGGGTGTATAGGGCTTATAGGGTTTATAGGGTTTGTAGGATTTAGGGTTTAGGGTTTAGGGTTTAGGGTAGGGTTTATAGGGTGTATAGGAATTAAGGCTTCTGGGGTTTATAGGGTTTATAGGGTTTTGAGCTTAAGCGGTTTAAAGGGTTTATAGGGTTTATATGGCTTATAGGGTTTATAGGGTTTTCGGCTGAAAAGGTTTATAGGGTTTGTAGGGTTTTGGGCTTAAAAGGTTTATAGGGTTTATAGGGTTTATAGGATTTAGGGTTTATAGGGTTTAAATGGGTTTATGAGAATTTAGGGTTTATAGGGTTTTGGGCTTAAAATGTGTATAGGGTTTATAGGGTTTATAGGATTTAGGGCTTATACGGTTTACAGGGTTTATAGGATTTAGGGTTTATAGGGTTTATAGGATTTAGGGTTTATAAGGTTGAAAGGGTTTATAGGATTTAAGGCTTATACGGTTTATAGGGTTAATAGGATATAGGGCTTATACGGTTTATAGGTTTTATAGGATTTAGGGCTTACACGGTTTAAAGGGTTTATAGGATTGAGGGCTTATACGGTTTACAGGGTTTATAGGATTTAGGGCTTATACGGTTTACAGGGTTTATAGGATTTTGGGTTTATAGGTTTTATAGGGTTTATAGGATTTATAGGGTTTAGGGTTTAGGGATCGGGGTTTAGGGCTTTTCGGGTTTGGGATTTAGGGTTCAGGGTCCTCCTGGCTTTTCGTTTCAACCCTAAGCCATTCATGCAAGGGTCACACAAGCACATGTAGACTGTATTGTAGCTTCCAGGCTCAGCAGCTAGAACCCGAATGAAGGTGTTCCCACGCTGCTCACAGCTCTCCAAGAGCCTGCATCCACGCTAGCCCAGGACTATGCCAACAATCTTGGCGACTGTCTGCGCCTCTCCGGATTTGATAAGCCGGCGTCGGTTTGTGCGAGTAATTGACAGCTACATTTCCATATCCCCAAACCCTCGTCTGAGCCAAGCCCGAAGTATGGGGTCATGGTCAAAGCCCAAACCCCACGGTAAACCCTAAAGTTCGAAATGCAGCCGCAAGACATGAACAAAAACCCAAGCCAGAAACCTACACACCCTCAGCCCCAAACACCAGAAGTGCCCCTAAACCCTAAACCCTAAAACCTAAACCCTAAACCCTAAACCCTAAAACCCTAAACCCTCTCCAAGGTATATCGAGGAAGAGCCGACCTGGTCCGGCTACTGGCGCGCCTCCTGCGCTCAGCGCATGATTGCGTGCTTTGGTGAAGCACGTCTTGGGATTTTGGGGTTTAGGGTTTAGGGTTCGGTTTAGGGTTTAGGGTTTAGGGTTAGGGATTGGGGGTTTAGGGTTTGGGGT